GCGGCTATGGGGCAGCTATGGGGTAATGCAGGGCTGCTTTTGTCGCCGTGCCGCAGCCGACCTGAAGGTGCCGTATGGGGTGCGGAGCTGGAAGCTGCGCCGCTCTGCGTCGCGCACGGAGCCCAGCGCCATGGGGATGCGCGTGATGCCCAGCCCCTGCTGCTGCTCCTGCGCCGCAACAAAGCACCGCTGCAGCGCTGCAGCCACTGCCCTGCAACCACTGCCCTGCAGCCACTGCCCTGCAACCACTGCCCTGCAACCACTGCCCTGCAGCCACTGCCCTGCAGCCACTGCCCTGCAACCACTGCCCTGCAACCACTGCGCTGCAACCACTGCCCTGCAACCACTGCCCTGCAACCACTGCGCTGCTGCCACTGCGCTGCAACTCTGTGCTGCAACTGCACTGCAACTCTGTGCTGCAACTGCACTGCAACCTCTGTGCTGCTGCAAACTGCCCTGCACCCACTGCCCTGCAACCTCTGCGCCCCTGCAACTGCGCTGCAACCTCTGCGCTGCACCCACTGCGCTGCTGCAACTGCGCTGCAACTGCACTGCAACTCTGTGCTGCACCCACTGCACCGCTGCAGCTGTGCTGCAACTGTGCTGCAACCACTGCCCTGCAACAACTGCGCTGCAACCACTGTGCCGCTGCAACGGTGCTGCAACTGCACAGCTCCCTGCACTGCTCCCTGCACTGCATACATTCCCCCATTACCCCCCACAACCCCCCCATAACCCCCCCATATCCCCCCATAGCCCCCCTCAAACCCCATATTCTATCCATAGCCCCTCATATTCCCCCACAACCTCCCATTACCCCCCATATTCCCCCATAGCCCCCCCATAACCCCCCCACAATCCCCCACAACCCCCCATTACCCCCCATTCCCCCATAACCCCCCATAACCCCCCCTCAAACTCCATATCCCCCCATAACTCCCCCAAAACCCCCCATAACCCCCATAATCCCACATCACCCCCCATCACCCCCCCATAACCCCCCACAACCCCCCATTATCCCCCACAACCCCCATTTGCCCCCCATTACCCCCCACAATCCCCCATTACCCCCCATAACCCCATAACCCCCCCCATATTCCCCCCATAACCCCCCCCACATCCCCCCCACGACCCCCCATTACCCCCCACAACCCCCCCACAACCCCATTACCCCCCTATTACCCCCATTACCCCCCATAACCCCCCCATAACCCCCCCACAATCCCCCACAACCCCCCCATAACCCCCCACGACCCCCCATTACCCCCCTGTTACCCTCATTACCCCCCAGAATCCCCCACAACCCCCCACAATCCCCCATAACCCCCCACAATCCCCCACAACCCCCCATTGCCCCCCATAACCCCCCCCATTTCCCCCATAATCTCCACAATCCCCCATACCCCCACAATCCCCCATAACCCCCCACAACCCCCCACAATCCCCCATAACCCCCCACAACCCCCCCATAATCCCCCATTACCCCCCCCAACCCCCCCATTACCCCCCAAAATCCCCCCAACCCCCCCCAACCCCCATAACCCCCCACAACCCCACACAACCCCCCACAATCCCCCAAACCCCCACAACCCCCCACAACCCCCCACAACCCCCCCACAACCCCCCCCCACAACCCCCCACATCCCCCCATAACCCCCATCAACCCCCATTCAAACCCATAACCCCCATAACCCCCCATATCCCCCCATTACCCCCCCATAACCCCCCATAACCCCCCACAACCACCCACAACCCCCCACAACCCCCCATATGCCCCCATAACACCCTTCAAACCCCATATTCTACCCATAACCACCCCATATTCCCCCATTACCCCCCCCATTACCCCCCACAACCCCCCATTGCCCCCCATAACCCCCCATTTCCCCCATAATCCCCCACAACCCCCCCACAATCCCCTCCACGACCCCCCATTACCCCCTATTACCCCCATTACCCCCCATAACCCCCCCATAACCCCCCCACAATCCCCCACAAGCCCCCATAACCCCCCACGACCCCCCATTACCCCTCATTGCCCCCATTGCCCCCCCATATCCCCCCACAACCCCCCATAATCCCCCATTACCCCCCATAACCCCATAACCCCCCCACAACCCCCCCACAACCCCCCATTACCCCCCATTTCCCCCATAACCCCCCATAACCCCCCCTCAAACTCCATATTCCCCCCATAACTCCCCCAAAACCCCCCATAACCCCCATAATCCCCCCAACACCCCCCATAACCCCCCCATAACACCCCACAACCCCCCATTATCCCCCACAACCCCCATTGCCCCCCATTACCCCCAAAATCCCCCATTACCCCCCATAACCCCATAACCCCCCCATATTCCCCCCATAACCCCCCCATTACCCCCCCACATCCCCCCCACGACCCCCCATTACCCCCCACAACCCCCCCACAAACCCATTACCCCCATAACCCCCCACAACCCCCCACAATCCCCCACAACTCCCCACAACCCCCATAACCCCCCACAACCCCCCACAATCCCCCACAACCCCCCACAACCCCCCACAACCCCCACAAACCCCCCATAACCCCCCACAATCCCCCACAATCCCCCACAACCCCCCACAACCCCCATAAACCCCCCACAATCCCCCACAATCCCCCACAACCCCCCACAACCCCCATAACCCCCCACAATCCCCCACAATCCCCCACAACCCCCATAACCCCCCACAACCCCCCACAACCCCCCACAATCCCCCACAATCCCCCACAACCCCCCCATATCCCCCCGTAACCCCCTTCAAACCCCATATTCTACCCATAACCCCCCCATATTCCCCCATTGCCCCCCATTACCCCCCATTTCCCCCACAACCCCCCACAACCCCCCATAACCACCCACAATCCCCCACAATTCCCCCTTACAACCCCCCATTATCCCCCATTACCCCCCACACCCCCCAATTGCCCCCCATTACCCCCCATTTCCCCCACAATCCCCCACAACCCCCCATAACCCCCCATAACTCCCCATTACCCCCCACAACCCCCCACAATCCCCCACAACCCCCATAACTCCCCCCAACCCCCCATAACCCCCCACAATCCCCCACAATCCCCCATTTCCCCCATAACCCCCCACAACCCCCCACAACCCCCCATAACCCCCTTCAAACCCCATATTCTACCCACAATCCCCCACAACCCCCCACTGCCCCCCATAACCCCCCATAACCCCTCACAACCCCCCACAACCCCCCATTTCTCCCACAATCCCCCACTTCCCCCCCCACCCCCCCAGCCCCCGTTTCCCCCCATCTCCCACCTCCCTGTTCCTGTACAGCAGCAGGGCGCCGCCGCGCAGCACCACGAAGACGCCATGTTTGAAGCCGCGCAGCTCCAGCTGCCCGCATTTGGCCTCGGCGCCTTCGGGGTCGCCTATGGGGTCGCCTATGGGGTCGCTTATGGGGTCGCTTATGGGGTCGTTGTTATTGGGGTCGGCCGCTCGATCCCCCATTCGTTCCTGCCGCTCCTCCAGGGCCGATTGCAGCGCCCACAGCCATTGGGAGCGGTCGGCTGGGGGACAGGGGGGCGTTATGGGGTCATATGGGGTCATTGTGGGGTTGATATGGGGTCAATATGGGGTCGATATGGGGTCATATGGGGTCATATGGGGTTGATATGGGGTCAGTATGGGGTCCATATGGGGTTGATATGGGGTCAATATGGGGTCCATATGGGGTTGATATGGGGTCAGTATGGGGTCCATATGGGGTCGGCATGGGGTCCATATGGGGTCGATATGGGGTCATTAAGGGGTCGATATGGGGTTGATATGGGGTAGATATGGGGTCAATATGGGGTCAATATGGGGTCGATATGGGGTCGACATGGGGTCGTTGTGGGGTCATTATGGAGTCCATATGGGGTCAATATGGGGTTGTTATGGGGTCAATATGGAGTCATTGTGGGGTCGTTATGGGGTCGATATGGGGTCAATATGGGGTCGATATGGGGTCCATAAGGGGTCAATATGGGGTCATATGGGGTCATATGGGGTCCATAAGGGGTCATATGGGGTCATATGGGGTCAATATGGGGTCAATATGGGGTCATATGGGGTCATATGGGGTCGATATGGGGTCCATAAGGGGTCAATATGGGGTCATATGGGGTCAATATGGGGTCATATGGGGTCGATATGGGGTCATATGGGGTCAATATGGGGTCGATATGGGGTCGATATGGGGTCATATGGGGTCAATATGGGGTCATATGGGGTCATATGGGGTCATATGGGGTCATATGGGGTCAATATGGGGTCATATGGGGTCATATGGGGTCATATGGGGTCATATGGGGTCAATATGGGGTCCATATGGGGTCGATATGGGGTCAATATGGAGTCAATATGGGGTCCATATGGGGTCGATATGGGGTCGTTGTGGGGTCGATATGGGGTGAATATGGGGTCGATATGGGGTCATATGGGGTCGATATGGGGTCGATATGGGGTCAATATGGGGTCATATGGGGTCCATATGGGGTCATATGGGGTCGATATGGGGTCCATAAGGGGTCAATATGGGGTCATATGGGGTCAATATGGGGTCATATGGGGTCCATATGGGGTCATATGGGGTCATATGGGGTCCATATGGGGTCATTATGGGGTCAATATGGGGTCATATGGGGTCATATGGGGTCGATATGGGGTCCATAAGGGGTCAATATGGGGTCATATGGGGTCGATATGGGGTCATATGGGGTCAATATGGGGTCATATGGGTCAATATGGGGTCATATGGGGTCGATATGGGGTCCATAAGGGGTCAATATGGGGTCGATATGGGGTTGATATGGGGTCGATATGGGGTCATTATGGGGTCAATATGGGGTCATATGGGGTCAATATGGGGTCATATGGGGTCATATGGGGTCATATGGGGTCAATATGGGGTCATATGGGGTCATATGGGGTCATATGGGGTCGATATGGGGTCATTATGGGGTCAATATGGGGTCGTTATGGGGTCAATATGGGGTCGATATGGGGTCATTAAGGGGTCGATATGGGGTTGATATGGGGTAGATATGGGGTCCATATGGGGTCGTTGTGGGGTCATTATGGTGTCCATATGGGGTCGATATGAGGTCAATATGGGGTCAATATGGGGTTGATACGGGGTCGATATGGAGTCATTATGGGATCGATATGGGGTCGATATGGGGTTGATATGGGGTAGATATGGGGTCATTGTGGGGTCGATATGGGGTCGTTATGGGGTCAATATGGGGTTGATATGGGGTCAATATGGGGTCGATATGGGGTAGATATGGGGTAGATATGGGGTCCATATGGGGTCATTATGGGGTCGATATGGGGTCATTGTGGGGTCCATATGGGGTTGTTATGGGGTTGATATGGGGTCATTATGGGGTCCATATGGGGTCAATATGGGGTCGTTGTGGGATCCATATGGGGTCGTTATGGGGTTGATATGGGGTCATTATGGGGTCCGTATGGGGTCGATATGGGGCCGTTGTGGGGTCCCTGGTTGTGGTTATGGGGCCATTGGGACCCTGGTTGTGGTTATGGGGCCATTTTGCACCCTGGCTGTGGTTATGGGGCCATTTTACACCCTGGCTGTGGTTATGGGGCCATTTTGCACCCTGGCTGTGGTTATGGGGCCATTTTGCACCCTGGCTGTGGTTATGGGGCCATTGGGACCCTGGCTGTGGTTATGGGGCCATTGGGACCCTGGCTGTGGTTATGGGGCCATTTTACACCCTGGCTGTGGTTATGGGGCCTTTTTGCACCCTGGCTGTGGTTATGGGGCCATTTTGCACCCTGGCTGTGGTTATGGGGCCATTTTGCACCCTGGCTGTGGTTATGGGGCCATTTTGGACCCTGGCTGTGGTTATGGGGCCATTTTACACCCTGGCTGTGGTTATGGGGCCATTTTGCACCCTGGCTGTGCTTATGGGGCCATTTTACACCCTGGCTGTGGTTATGGGGCCTTTTTGCACCCTGGCTGTGGTTATGGGGCCATTTTGCACCCTGGCTGTGGTTATGGGGCCTTTTTGCACCCTGGCTGTGGTTATGGGGCCATTTTACACCCTGGCTGTGGTTATGGGGCCATTTTGGACCCTGGCTGTGGTTATGGGGCCATTTTACACCCTGGCTGTGCTTATGGGGCCATTTTACACCCTGGCTGTGGTTATGGGGCCGTCGGTTCCCCCCTCACCGTCGCTGTCGGCGCGGAAGACAAAATGGCGGCTCTGTGTGACCACCTCGAACTTCTGCTCCCCAATGGCGGCCACGTGGGAGATGGAGGAGATGAGGATGAAGCGCTTGGAGAAAACGTCCTATGGGGACATGGGGGACATGGGGGGGACGGGGGGGTGACGTGAGAACGGGGCAGCTGTGGGATCAGGCCGTGGCGCCCCCAAATGCCCCCCAAAGTCACCTTGTCGCTGGCGAAGTAACGCAGGCACTGGGAGTCCAAGGTGACCCAGCGGCGCTGGTACAGGTAGTGCCTGCGGAACGGGCGCCCGGTGGCACCCAGTGACCCCATGACCCCAGTGACACCCATTGCTCCCATTTGACACCCATTGACCCCATTGATCCCATGACCCCATTGACAACCATTGACCCCGTGACCACATTGACACCCATTGACACCATTGAGATCCACTGACACCATTGATACCATTGACCCCGTGACACCCACTGACACCCACTGACACCCATTGACACCCATTGACCCCATAACCCCATTGACCCCATTGACAACCATTGACCCCATGACCACATTGACACCCACTGACACCATTGAGATCCATTGACACCATTGACCACGTGACACCCACTGACACCCACTGACACCCACTGACACCCATTGACCCCGTGACCACATTGACAGCATTGACCCCATTGAGATCCACTGACACCATTGATACCGTTGACCCCGTGACACCCATTGACACCCATTGACCCCGTGACCACATTGACACCCATTGACCCCATTGAGATCCACTGACACCATTGATACCATTGACCCCGTGACACCCAGTGACACCCACTGACACCCACTGACCCCATGACCCCATTGACCCCATTGACAACCGTTGACCCCATGACCACATTGACACCCACTGACACCATTGAGATCCATTGACACCATTGACCACGTGACACCCACTGACACCCACTGACACCCACTGACACCCATTGACCCCGTGACCACATTGACAGCATTGACCCCATTGAGATCCACTGACACCATTGATACCGTTGACCCCGTGACACCCATTGACACCCATTGACATCCATTGACACCCATTGATCCCATGATCCCATTGACCCCATGACCCTATTGATCCCATGACCCCATGACACCCACTGATTCCATGATCCCACTGACACCCATTGACCCCATTGACACCTATTGACCCCCCCATTGACACCCATTGATCCCATTGACACCCATTGACCCCATGACCCCATTGACACCCATTGACAACCCATTGACAGCCATTGACACCCATTGATCCCATGACCCCATGACCCCATTGACACCCATTGACACCCATTGACACCTATTGATCCCATGATCCCATTGACACCCATTGACACCCATTGACCCCATTGACATCCATTGATCCCATTGACACCTATGGACACCCATTGACCCCATTGACGCCCATTGACCCCATTGACACCCATTGACCCTGTGACCCCATTGACATCCATTGACCCCATGACCCCACTGACACCCACTGACCCCGTTGACACCACTGACACCCATTGATACCCACTGATCCCATGACCTCATTGACACCCATTGACCCTGTGACCACATTGACACCCATTGACACCCACTGATCCCATGACCCCATTGACACCCATTGACCCCATGACACCCATTGACACCCACTGACCCCATGACACCCATTGACACCCATTGACCCCATTGACACCCACTGACCCCCTGACCCCATTGACACCCACTGACCCCATGACACCCATTGACACCCACTGATCCCATGACCCCATTGACACCCATTGACACCATTGAGATCCATTGACACCATTGACCCCGTGACACCCACTGACACCCACTGACACCCATTGACCCATTGACCCCATTGACACCCACTGACCCCATGACCCCATTGACACCCACTGACCCCATGACACCCATTGACACTCATTGATGTCATTGACACCCACTGACCCCATGACACCCATTGACACCCATTGACCCCATGACACCCATTGACACCCATTGACCCCATGACCCCATTGACACCCACTGACCCCATGACACCCATTGACACCCATTGACCCCATTGACACCCACTGACCCCATGACACCCATTGACCCCATGACCCCATTGACACCCACTGACCCCATGACACCCATTGACACCCACTGACCCCATGACACCCATTGACACCCATTGACCCCATGACCCCATTGACACCCACTGACCCCATGACACCCATTGACACCCATTGACCCCATTGACACCCACTGACCCCATGACCCCATTGACACCCACTGATCCCATGACCCCATTGACCCCATTGATCCCATGACCCCATTGACACCCATTGACCCCATGACACCCATTGACACCCATTGACCCCATTGACCCCATGACACCCATTGACACCCACTGACCCCATGACCCCATTGACACCCATTGACCCCATGACCCCATTGACACCCACTGACCCCATGACACCCACTGACCCCATTGACACCCATTGACCCCATGACCCCATTGACACCCACTGACCCCATGACACCCACTGACCCCATTGACACCCATTGACCCCATGACCCCCATTGACACCCACTGACCCCATGACACCCACTGACCCCATTGACACCCATTGATCCCATGACCCCATTGACACCCACTGACCCCATGACCCCATGACCCCATTGACCCCATTCACCTCAGTGACCCCGTGACCCCACTGCCCACATTGACCCCGTGACCCCGTGACCCCGTGACCCCGCAGACACTCACCCTTGGGGCGCCATCTTGTCCAGCCACCCCGCCCACCTGGGGGGGCAGAGCAGCGCTGTGGGGTCGGGGCTCCCAGCTGTGGGGCTGCTGCAGGGCACAGAGCTTAGGGTCAGGGCCCGGCCCTATAGCGCGCGGCCCCACACCCATTGCTACCCCATAGCCACCCCATAGCCACCCTATAGCCCATAGCCACCCCATAGCCATCCCATCGCCACCCCATAGCCACCCTATAGCCACCCTATAGCCCATAGCCACCCCACACCCATAGCCACCACATAGCCAACCCATAGCCACCCCATAGCCACACCATAGCCACCCCATAGCCACCCTATAGCCCATAGCCACCCTATAGCCACCCCACACCCATAGCCACCCTATAGCCACCCCATAGCCCATAGCCACCCCACACCCATAGCCACCCCATAGCCACCCCATAGCCACCCTATAGCCCATAGACACCCCACACCCATAGCCACCACATAGCCACCCCATAGCCACCCCATAGCCACCCCATAGCCACCCCATAGCCACCCTATAGCCCATAGACACCCCATAGCCACCCTATAGCCACCCCACACCCATAGCCACCCTATAGCCACCCCATAGCCACCCCATAGCCACCCCACACCCATAGCCACCCCATAGCCACCCCATAGCCACCCCATAGCCCATAGCCACCCCATAGCCACCCCATAGCCACCCTATAGCCACCCCATAGCCCATAGCCACCCCATAGCCACCCTATAGTCACCCTATAGCCCATAGCCACCCCATAGCCACCCTATAGCCACCCCATAGCCACCCCATAGCCCATAGCCACCCCACACCCATAGCCACCCTGTAGCCACCCTGTAGCCACCCCATAGCCACCCTATAGCCCATAGCCACCCCACACCCATAGCCACCCCATAGCCACCCTATAGCCACCCCATAGCCACACTATAGCCACCCCATAGCCACCCCACAGCCCATCGCCACCCCATAGCCACACTATAGCCACACTATAGCCACCCCATAGCCACCCCACACCCATAGCTACCCTATAGCCACCCCATAGCCACCCCATAGCCACCCCATAGCCACCCTATAGCCCATAGCCACCCCATAGCCACCCTATAGCCACCCCACACCCATAGCCACCCTATAGCCACCCCATAGCCACCCCACACCCATAGCCACCCCATAGCCACCCCATAGCCACCCCACACCCATAGCCACCCCATAGCCACCCCACACCCATAGCCACCCCATAGCCACCCTATAGCCACCCCACACCCATAGCCACCCCATAGCCACCCCATAGCCACCCCATAGCCACCCCACACCCATCGCCACCCCATAGCCACCCCATAGCCACCCCACACCCATAGCCACCCCATAGCTACCCCATAGCCACCCACATCCCATCGCCACCCCACACCCCATAGCCACCCCACATCCCATCACTACCCCACACCCCACATCCCACGCCCACCCCATATCCCAATGCAACCCAACACCCCATACCCCACACCTCACACCCCATAACCCCACCCCACACCCCATATCACACCCCACACCCCATATCACACCCCACACCCCATAACCGCATCCCACACCCCATAACCTTGCCCCACATCCCACCCCCCATATCCCACCCCACACCCCATAACCCCAACCCACACCCCATACCCTACACCCCACACCCCATATCCCACAACACACCCCATAGCCCCCTCCCATACCCCATATCCGACCCCACACCCCATAACCCCACCCCCCATATCCCACCCCACACCCCACACCCCATATCACACCCCATAGCCCATAACCCCACCCACACCCCATAACCCCACACCCCACCCCCCACATCCCATCCCACACCCCATACCCCATATCACACCCCATAGCCCCATAACCCCACCCCACACTCTATAACCCTGCCCCACATCGCCCCCCCATATCCCACCCCACAAACCATACCCTACACTCCCCACCCCACACCCCATATCCGACCCCACACCCCATATCCCACACCCCATACCCCGCACCCCATATCCCACCCCAACCCCACACCCCACACCCCATAACCCCACCCCACACCCTATATCCCACTGCACACTCCACACCCCATATCACGCCCCATAACCCCACCACACACCCCACATCCCACATCCCACCCCCATATCCAACCCACACCCCATAACCCGTAACTCCACCCCACACCCTACACCCACACCCCATAACCAACCCCACACCCCACCCCACACCCCATAACCCCACACCCCACACCTCCACCCCATAACCCCACCCCACACCCCACCCCACACCCCATACCCCATATCCCACCCCACACCCCAACCCCACACCCCATACGCATCCCACACCCCACACCCACCCCATATCTCACCCCACATCCCATAACCCCACCCCCACACCCCATATTCCACCCCAACCCCACACCTCATATCCCACCCTGCACCCCATATCCCACCCCACACCCCATAACCCCATACCCTACACCCCACACCCCATATCCCACCACACACCCCATACCCCACATCCAACCTCACACCCCATAACCCCCCCACACCCTGTACCCCATATCCCACCCCACATCCCGTAACCCCACCCCCACACCCCATATCTCACACCCCACACCCCATATCACACCCCATAACCCTGCCCCACATCCCACACCCCATATCCCACCCCAACCCCACACCCCATAACCCCACCCCACACCCCACATCCCCACACACACCCCACACCCCATATCTCAACCCACACCCCATATCACACCCCATAGCCCCATAACCCCACCCCACACTCTATAAGCCTGCTCCACATCGCCCCCCCCATATCCCACCCCACACACCATACCCTACACCCCCCATACCCACACCCCATACCCCACACCCCATATCCCACCCCAACCCCACACCCCATAACCCCACCCCACACCCTATATCCCACTGCACACTCCACACCCCATATCACGCCCCATAACCCCACCACACACCCCACATCCCACATCCCACCCCCATATCCAACCCACACCCCATAACCCATAACTCCACCCCACACCCTATACCCACACCCCATAACCAACCCCACACCCCACCCCACACCCCATAACCCCACACCCCACACCCCCACCCCATAACCCCACCCCACACCCCATACCCCACACCCCATAACCCCCCACACCCCATACCCCATATCCCACCCCACACCCCAACCCCACACCCCATACGCATCCCACACCCCACACCCACCCCATATCTCACCCCACATCCCATAACCCCACCCCCACACCCCATATTCCACCCCAACCCCACACCTCATATCCCACCCTGCACCCCATATCCCACCCCACACCCCTCACCCCTCACCCCAACCTCACATCCCATAACCCCCCCACACCCTGTACCCCATATCCCACCCCACATCCCGTAACCCCACCCCCACACCCCATATTCCACCTCAACCCCACACCCCATACCTCATATCCCACCCTGCACCCCATAACCCCATACCCTACACCCCACACCCTATATCCCACCCCACACCCCATATCTCACACCCCACACCCCATATCACACCCCATAACCCTGCCCCACATCCCACACCCCATATCCCACCCCAATCCCACACCCCATAAGCCCACCGCACACCCCATATCCCCACACACACCCCACACCCCATATCCCACCCCACACCCCATATCACACCCCATAGCCCCATAACCCCACCCCACACTCTATAAGCCTGCCCCACATCGCCCCCCCCATATCCCACCCCACACACCATACCCTACACCCCCCATACCCACACCCCATACCCCGCACCCCATATCCCACCCCAACCCCACACCCCATAACCCCACCCCACACCCTATATCCCACTGCACACTCCACACCCCATATCAGGCCCCATAACCCCACCACACACCCCACATCCCACATCCCACCCCCATATCCCACCCCACACCCCATAACCCGTAACTCCACCCCACACCCTATACCCACACCCCATAACCAACCTCACACCCCAACCCACACCCCATAACCCCATACCCCACACCTCCACCCCATAACCCCACCCCACACCCCATACCCTACACCCCACACCCTACACCCCATACCCCCTATACCCCATATCCCACCCCACACCCCATAATCAGTAACCCCACCCCACACCCTATACCCCACACCCCATAACCCCCCACACCCCATACCCCATATCCCACCCCACACCCCAACCCCACACCCCATAAGCATCCCACACCCCACACCCCATACCCACCCCATATCTCACCCCACATCCCATAACCCCACCCCCACACCCCATATTCCACCCCAACCCCACACCTCATATCCCACCCTGCACCCCATATCCCACCCCACACCCCATAACCCCATACCCTACACCCCACACCCCATATCCCACCACACACCCCATACCCCACACCCAACCTCACACCCCATAACCCCCCCACACCCTGTACCCCATATCCCACCCCACATCCCGTAACCCCACCCCCACACCCCATATCTCACACCCCACACCCCATATCACACCCCATAACCCTGCCCCACATCCCACACCCCATATCCCACCCCAACCCCACACCCCATAACCCCACCACACACCCCACATCCCACATCCCACCCCCCATATCCCACCCCACACCCCATAACCCGTAACTCCACCCCACACCCTACACCCACACCCCATAACCAACCCCACACCCCACCCCACACCCCACACCCCATATCCCACACCCCATAACCCCCCACACCCCATACCCCATATCCCACCCCACACCCCAACCCCACACCCCATACGCATCCCACACCCCACACCCACCCCATATCTCACCCCACATCCCATAACCCCACCCCCACACCCCATATTCCACCCCAACCCCACACCTCATATCCCACCCTGCACCCCATATCCCACCCCACACCCCTCACCCCTCACCCCAACCTCACATCCCATAACCCCCCCACACCCTGTACCCCATATCCCACCCCACATCCCGTAACCCCACCCCCACACCCCATATTCCACCTCAACCCCACACCCCATACCTCATATCCCACCCTGCACCCCATAACCCCATACCCTACACCCCACACCCTATATCCCACCCCACACCCCATATCTCACACCCCACACCCCATATCACACCCCATAACCCTGCCCCACATCCCACACCCCATATCCCACCCCAACCCCACACCCCATAAGCCCACCGCACACCCCATATCCCCACACACACCCCACACCCCATATCCCACCCCACACCCCATATCACACCCCATAGCCCCATAACCCCACCCCACACTCTATAAGCCTGCCCCACATCGCCCCCCCCATATCCCACCCCACACACCATACCCTACACCCCCCATACCCACACCCCATACCCCGCACCCCATATCCCACCCCAACCCCACACCCCATAACCCCACCCCACACCCTATATCCCACTGCACACTCCACACCCCATATCACGCCCCATAACCCCACCACACACCCCACATCCCACATCCCACCCCCCATATCCCACCCCACACCCCATAACCCATAACTCCACCCCACACCCTACACCCACACCCCATAACCAACCTCACACCCCAACCCACACCCCATAACCCCATACCCCACACCTCCACCCCATAACCCCACCCCACACCCCATAACCCCACACCCCACACCTCCACCCCATAACCCCACCCCACACCCCATATCCCACACCCCATACCCCATATCCCACCCCACACCCCAACCCCACACCCCATAAGCATCCCACACCCCACACCCCACACCCACCCCATATCTCACCCCACATCCCATAACCCCACCCCCACACCCCATATTCCACCCCAACCCCACACCTCATATCCCACCCTGCACCCCATATCCCACCCCACACCCCATAACCCCATACCCTACACCCCACACCCCATATCCCACCACACACCCCATACCCCACATCCAACCTCACACCCCATAACCCCCCCACACCCTGTACCCCATATCCCACCCCACATCCCGTAACCCCACCCCCACACCCCATATCTCACACCCCACACCCCATATCACACCCCATAACCCTGCCCCACATCCCACACCCCATATCCCACCCCAACCCCACACCCCATAACCCCACCACACACCCCACATCCCACATCCCACCCCCCATATCCCACCCCACACCCCATAACCCATAACTCCACCCCACACCCTATACCCACACCCCATAACCAACCCCACACCCCACCCCACACCCCATAACCCCACACCCCACACCCCCACCCCATAACCCCACCCCACACCCCATACCCCACACCCCATAACCCCCCACACCCCATACCCCATATCGCACCCCACACCCCAACCCCACACCCCATACGCATCCCACACCCCACACCCACCCCATATCTCACCCCACATCCCATAACCCCACCCCCACACCCCATATTCCACCCCAACCCCACACCTCATATCCCACCCTGCACCCCATATCCCACCCCACACCCCTCACCCCTCACCCCAACCTCACATCCCATAACCCCCCCACACCCTGTACCCCATATCCCACCCCACATCCCGTAACCCCACCCCCACACCCCATATTCCACCTCAACCCCACACCCCATACCTCATATCCCACCCTGCACCCCATAACCCCATACCCTACACCCCACACCCTATATCCCACCCCACACCCCATATCTCACACCCCACACCCCATATCACACCCCATAACCCTGCCCCACATCCCACACCCCATATCCCACCCCAACCCCACACCCCATAAGCCCACCCCACACCCCATATCCCCACACACACCCCACACCCCATATCTCAACCCACACCCCATATCACACCCCATAGCCCCATAACCCCACCCCACACTCTATAACCCTGCCCCACATCGCCCCCCCCATATCCCACCCCACACACCATACCCTACACTCCCCACCCCACACCCCATATCCGACCCCACACCCCATATCCCACACCCCATACCCCGCACCCCATATCCCACCCCAACCCCACACCCCATAACCCCACCCCACACCCTATATCCCACTGCACACTCCACACCCCATATCACGCCCCATAACCCCACCACACACCCCACATCCCACATCCCACCCCCATATCCCACCCCACACCCCATAACCCGTAACTCCACCCCACACCCTATACCCACACCCCATAACCAACCCCACACCCCACCCCACACCCCATAACCCCACACCCCACACCCCCACCCCATAACCCCACCCCACACCCCACCCCACACCCCATACCCCATATCCCACCCCACACCCCAACCCCACACCCCATACGCATCCCACACCCCACACCCACCCCATATCTCACCCCACATCCCATAACCCCACCCCCACACCCCATATTCCACCCCAACCCCACACCTCATATCCCACCCTGCACCCCATATCCCACCCCACACCCCATAACCCCATACCCTACACCCCACACCCCATATCCCACCACACACCCCATACCCCACATCCAACCTCACACCCCATAACCCCCCCACACCCTGTACCCCATATCCCACCCCACATCCCGTAACCCCACCCCCACACCCCATATCTCACACCCCACACCCCATATCACACCCCATAACCCTGCCCCACATCCCACACCCCATATCCCACCCCAACCCCACACCCCATAACCCCACCACACACCCCACATCCCACATCCCACCCCCCATATCCCACCCCACACCCCATAACCCGTAACTCCACCCCACACCCTACACCCACACCCCATAACCAACCCCACACCCCACCCCACACCCCATACCCTACACCCCACACCCCATAACCCCACCCCACACCCCATACCCTACACCCCACACCCCATAACCCCACCCCACACCCCATACCCTACACCCCACACCCCATAGCCCCTATACCCCATATCCCACCCCACACCCCATAATCAGTAACTCCACCCCACACCCTATACCCACACCCCATATCCCACCCCATACCCCATATCACACCCCATAGCCCATAACCCCACCCCACACTCTATAAGCCTGCCCCACATCGCCCCCCCCATATCCCACCCCACACCCCATACCCTACACCCCCCACCCCCCACCCCAACCTCACACCCCACATCCCACCCCACACCCCCACACCTTCACCCCATAACCCTGCCCCACACACCCCATAACCCCCCCCCCCCACCCCATAACCCCCCCCTACCCCCCAGGCGTCTCCTCGCCCTCCAGCAGTTCCTCCTCGCTGCTCAAACTGCAGCCCTGCTCCTCGCTGGCCTCCTTTATGGGGTTTGGTGACACGGGGGGGGGAAGTTTATGGGGTGACCCCACTTATGGGGCGATTATGGGGTGACCCCACTTATGGGGTGATCTCACTTATGAGATGATCCTACTTATGGGGCGATGCCACTTATGGGGTGATCTCACTTATGGGGTGACCCCCTTAAGGGGACAACCCCCCCTTATGGGGTGATCCCACTTATGGGTCGATCCCACATATGGGGCAATCCCACTTATGGGGTGACCCCACTTATGGGGTGATCTCACTTATGAGATGATCCTACTTATGGGGCGATGCCACTTATGGGGTGACCCCACTTATGGGGCGACGCCACTTATGGGGTGACACCCCCCGTATGGGGCGATCCCACTTACAGGGTAACTCCCCTTATGGGGCAATCCCACTTATGGGGTGACCCCACTTATGGGGCAATCCCACTTATGGGGCAATCCCACTTATGGGGTGATCCCACTTATGGGGCGATCCCACTTATGGGGTGATCCCACTTATGGGACTGATCCCACTTATGGGGTGACCCCACTTATGGGGTGACCCCACTTATGGAGTGATCCCACTTATGGGCCATCCCAATTATGGGGTGACCCCACTTATGGGGCAATCCCTCTTATGGGGTGATCCCACTTATGGGGCGATCCCACTTATGGGGTGATCCCACTTATGGGGCAATCCCACTTATGGGGCTGATCCCACTTATGGGGTGACCCCACTTATGGGGTGACCCCACTTATGGAGTGATCCCACTTATGGGCCATCCCAATTATGGGGTGACCCCACTTATGGGGCAATCCCTCTTATGGGGTGACCCCACTTATGGGGCGATCCCACTTATGGGGCGATCCCACTTATGGGGTGACCCCACTTATGGGGTGACCCCACTTATGGGGCTGATCCCACTTATGGGGTGACCCCACTTACGGGCCATCCCAATTATGGGGTGATCCCACATATGGGGCAATCCCCCTTATGAGGTGATCCCTCTTATGGGGCCGATCCCACTTATGGGGTGACCCCACTTGTGGGGCTCAGCCCCCCATCCCCACCTGCTGGGCCATGATGGGGCCGCTGTTGTCCTCGTAGTCGGAGTCATCTGTGGGGGGGGGACAGGAAGAGGGGACAGCTGTAGGGCGGGAGGGGACAATGGGGGGGGGGGGGGGGACACTTTGGGGACAGATGGGGGGGAGGGGACGATTTGGGGTGGGAGGGGACATGGGGGGGGAGGGGACATGGGGGGGGGAGGGGACAGCTTTAGGGCAGGAGGGGACAGGAGGGGACATTATGGGGTGGGAGGGGACAGATGGGGAGGGGACACTTTGGGGACAGATGGGGGGAGAGGGGACATTATGGGGTGGGAGGGGACAGATGGGGGGGGAGGGACATTATGGGGTGGGAGGGGACAGATGGGGACAGATGGGGGGAGAGGGGACACTGTGGGGTGGGAGGGGACATGGGGGGGGACAGCTTTAGGGCAGGAGGGGACACTGTGGGACGGGGGGGGACATGGGGGGGGGACGCTTTGGGGACAGGAGGAGGGAGAGGGGACAATTTGGGATGGGAGGGGACACTGTGGGGGGGGAGGGACATTATGGGGTGGGAGGGGACATTTGGGGACAGAAGGGACATTATGGGGTGGGAGGGGACAGGACATAGGAAGGGGACAGCTTTAGGAGGGGACACCAAGGGACAGGAGGGGACATTATGGGGTGGGAGGGGATATGGGGGGGGACACTGGGGACAGGAGGAGGGGAGGGGACAATTTGGGATGGGAGGGGACACTGGGAGGGACAGCTTTAGGGCAGGAGGGGACAGGAGGGGACATGGGGGGGGACAGATGGGGACAGAAGGGACATTATGGGGTGGGAGGGGACAGGACATAGGAAGGGGACAGCTTTAGGAGGGGACAGATGGGGACAGGAGGGGACATTATGGGGTGGGAGGGGATATGGGGGGGGACACTGGGGACAGGAGGAGGGGAGGGGACAATTTGGGATGGGAGGGGACATGGGGGGGGACAGCTTTAGGGCAGGAGGGGACACTATGGGATGGGAGGGGACATTATGGGGTGGGAGGGGACGTGGGGGGGACACTTTGGGGACAGGAGGAGGGAGAGGGGACAATTTGGGATGGGAGGGGACATGGGGGGGTGGACATTATGGGGTGGGAGGGGACAGTTGGGGACAGAAGGGACATTATGGGGTGGGAGGGGACAGGACATAGGAAGGGGACAGCTTTAGGAGGGGACACCAAGGGACAGGAGGGGACATTATGGGGTGGGAGGGGATATGGGGGGGGACACTGGGGACAGGAGGAGGGAGAGGGGACAATTTGGGATGGGAGGGGACATGGGGGGGGACAGCTTTAGGGCAGGAGGGGACAGGATGGGACAGGAGGGGACATGGGGGGGGACAGATGGGGACAGAAGGGACATTATGGGGTGGGATGGGACATGGGGAGGGGACACTTTGGGGACAGATGGGGGGAGAGGGGACAATTTGGGATGGGAGGGGACATAGGGAGGGGACAGCTTTAGGGCAGGAGGGGACACTATGGGATGGGAGGGGACATTATGGGGTGGGAGGAGACGTGGGGAGGGGACACTTTGGGGACAGGAGGAGGGAGAGGGGACAATTTGGGATGGGAGGGGACATAGGGAGGGGACAGCTTTAGGGCAGGAGGGGACACTATGGGATGGGAGGGGACATTATGGGGTGGGAGGAGACGTGGGGAGGGGACACTTTGGGGACAGATGGGGGGAGAGGGGACAATTTGGGATGGGAGGGGACATAGGGAGGGGACAGCTTTAGGGCAGGAGGGGACAGGAGGGGACATGGGGGGGGACAGATGGGGACAGAAGGGACATTATGGGGTGGAAGGAGATATGGGAAGGGGACACTTTGGGGACAGTTGGGGGGAGAGGGGACAATTTGGGATGGGAGGGGACACTGTGGGGGGGACAGCTTTAGGGCAGGAGGGGACACATAGAGGGGACATCTGGGGGAGAAGGGACAACCCAAGGCAGGAGGGGACACTATGGGGGGGGGGGGGGACAATTTGGGGCCATTGGGGGCCATTGGGGCCATTAGGGGCCATTTGGGGTCAATTGGGGCCATTGGGGGCCATTTGGGGTCTATTGGGACCATTGGGAACCATTTGGGGTCTATTGGGGCCATTGGGGCCATTTGGGGTCTATTGGGGCCATTGGGGGCCATTTGGGGTCTATTGGGGCCCTTGGGGGCCATTTGGGGTCTATTGGGGCCATTTGGGGTCTATTGGGGCCATTGGGGGCCATTTGGGGTCTATTGGGGCCATTGGGGGCCATTTGGGGTCTACTGGGGCCATTGGGGGCCATTGGGGTCTATTGGGGCCATTTGGGGTCTATTGGGACCATTGGGAACCATTTGGGGTCTATTGGGGCCATTTGGGGTCTATTGGGGCCATTGGGGGCCATTTGGGGTCTATTGGGGCCATTGGGAAACATTTGGGGTCTATTGGGGCCATTTGGGGCCATTTGGGGTCTATTGGGGCCATTGGGGGCCATTGGGGCCATTAGGAGCCATTTGGGGTCTATTGGGGCCATTTGGGGCCATTTGGGGTCTATTGGGGCCATTGGGGGCCATTTGGGGTCTATTGGGGCCATTAGGGGCCATTTGGGGTCTATTGGGGCCATTTGGGGCCATTTGGGGTCTCTTGGGGCCATTTGGGGTCTATTGGGGCCATTAGGAGCCATTTGGGGTCTCTTGGGGCCATTTGGGGTCTATTGGGGCCATTGGGGGCCATTTGGGGTCTATTGGGGCCATTTGGGGCCATTTGGGGTCTATTGGGGCCATTTGGGGTCTATTGGGACCATTTGGGGTCTATTGGGGCCATTAGGGGCCATTTGGGGTCTATTGGGGCCATTGGGGGCCATTTGGGGTCTATTGGGGCCATTTGGGGTCTATTGGGGCCATTGGGGGCCATTTGGGGTCTACTGGGGCCATTGGGGGCCATTTGGGGTCTATTGGGGCCATTTGGGGTCTATTGGGACCATTGGGAACCATTTGGGGTCTATTGGGGCCATTTGGGGCCATTTGGGGCCATTGGGGGCCATTTGGGGTCTATTGGGGCCATTGGGAAACATTTGGGGTCTATTGGGGCCATTTGGGGCCATTTGGGGTCTATTGGGGCCATTGGGGGCCATTTGGGGTCTATTGGGGCCATTAGGGGCCATTTGGGGTCTATTGGGGCCATTTGGGGCCATTTGGGGTCTCTTGGGGCCATTTGGGGTCTATTGGGGCCATTAGGAGCCATTTGGGGTCTCTTGGGGCCATTTGGGGTCTATTGGGGCCATTAGGAGCCATTTGGGGTCTCGTGGGGCCATTTGGGGTCTATTGGGGCCATTGGGGGCCATTTGGGGTCTATTGGGGCCATTGGGGGCCATTTGGGGTCTATTGGGGCCATTTGGGGTCTATTGGGGCCATTAGGAGCCATTTGGGGTCTCTTGGGGCCATTTGGGGTCTATTGGGGCCATTAGGAGCCATTTGGGGTCTCTTGGGGCCATTTGGGGTCTATTGGGGCCAGTGGGGGCCATTTGGGGTCTATTGGGGCCATTGGGGGCCATTGGGGCCATTAGGAGCCATTTGGGGTCTATTGGGGCCATTTGGGGTCTCTTGGGGCCATTGGGGGCCATTTGGGGTCTATTGGGGCCATTAGGAGCCATTTGGGGTCTCTTGGGGCCATTGGTGGCCATTTGGGGTCTATTGGGGCCATTGGGGTCTATTGGGGCCATTGGGGTCTATTGGGGCCATTGGGGGCCATTTGGGGTCTACTGGGGCCATTGGGGTCTATTGGGGCCATTGGGGGCCATTTGGGGTCTATTGGGGCCATTTGGGGTCTATTGGGGCCATTGGGGGCCATTTGGGGTCTATTGGGGACATTGGGGGCCATTTGGGGTCTATTGGGGCCATTTGGGGTCTATTGGGGCCATTGGGGGCCATTTGGGGTCTATTGGGGCCATTTGGGGTCAATTGGGGCCATTGGGGGCCATTTGGGGTCTATTGGGGACATTGGGGGCCATTTGGGGTCTATTGGGGACATTGGGGGCCATTTGGGGTCTATTGGGGCCATTGGGGGCCATTTGGGGTCTATTGGGGCCATTGGGAACCATTGGGGGCCATTTAGGGCCATTTGGGGTCTACTGAAGGCCACTAGGGGTCATCAGGAGCCATTTGGGGTCCATCTGGGGCCATTTAGGGTCACTGGGGACGACTTGGGGCCACGTGGGACCATTTAGGGCCATTGGGGGCCATTTAGGGCCATTGGGGGCCATTTAGGGCCAGGTGCCCCCAAAGGCCAGCAGCGTTACTCACCGAACTCAGGCGGTGTGGGGTGCAGGGGGGCGCACGGCGGGGTCAATGGGGTCAATGGGGTCAATGGGGTCAATGGGGCAGCGGCACTGCGGGGGGACAGAGGGGTATTATGGGATGGCGGCCCGGAAAGGTGCCCAGCCTTCACAGCACAGCCCTACGTGGAGGAGGAATGGTGCAAAATGGGGGGGGGGGGGGGGGGTTGGAAATGGGGGAGAATGGGGCAAGGAGGGGCTGCAATGGTGCAGAATGGGGAAAGGAGGGGTGGAAATGGGGCAGAATGGGGCAAGGAGGGGTGGAAACAGTGCAGAATGGGGCAAGGAGGGGCTGCAATGGTGCAAAATAGGGAAAGGAGGGGTGGTGATGGTGTAAAATGGGGCAAGGAGGGGTGGAAATAGAGCAGAATGGGGCAAGGAGGGGCGGTGATGGTGTAAAATGGGGCATGGAGGGGCTGCAATGGTGCAAAATGGGGCAAGGAGGGGTGATGATGGTGCAAAATGGGGAAAGGAGGGGCAGTGATGGTGCAGAATGGTGCAAAGAAGGGAGGCAATGGTGCAAAATGGTGCGAGGAGGGGCTGCAATGGTGTAAAATGGTGCAAGGCAGGGCAGCAGTAGTGCAAAATGGGGCAAGGAGGGGTGGAAATGGTGCAGAATGGGGCAAGGAGGGGTGGAAATGGTGCAAAGTGGGGCAAGGAAGGGCAGAGGTGGTGTAAAATGATGCAAGGAGGGGTGGAAACAGTGCAGAATGGGGCAAGGAGGGGCTGCAATGGTGCAAAATGGGGTGAGGAGGGGCTGCAATGGTGCAGAATGGGGCGAGGAAGGGCGGTGATGGTGCAAAATGGTGCAAGGAGGGGTGGAAATGGTGCAAATTTATGCAAGGAAGGGCAGCAATGGTGCAAAATGGTGAGAAGGAGGGGTGGTGATGGTGCAAAATGGGGCGAGGAGGGGTGGAAATGGTGCAAACTGGTGCGAGGAGGGGCAGCAATGGTGCAAAGTGGGGAAAGGAGGAGCAGCAATTAGTGCAAAATGGGGCAAGGAGGGGTGGAAATGGTGCAGAATGGGGCAAGGAGGGGCAGCAATGGTGCAAAGTGGTGCAAGGAGGGGTGGTGATGGTGCAAAGTGGGGCAAGGAGGGGCTGCAATGGTGCAAAATGGTGCAAGGAGGGTTGGAAATGGTGCAAAGTGGGGCAAGGAGGGGCTGCAATGGTGCAGAATGGGGCAAGGAGGGGTGGAAATGGTGCAGAATGGGGCAAGGAGGGGTGATGATGGTGCAAAATGGGGAAAGGAGGGGTGGAAATAGAGCAGAATGGGGCAAGGAGGGGCAGCAATGGCACAAAATGGGGCATGGAGGGGCTGCAATGGCACAAAATGGGGCAGGGAGGGGTGGAAATGGTGCAAAATGGGGCAAGGAGGGGCAGTGATGGTGCAGAATGGTGCAAAGAAGGGAGGCAATGGTGCAAACTGGTGCGAGGAGGGGCAGCAATGGTGTAAAATGGTGCAAGGCAGGGCAGCAGTAGTGCAAAATGGGGCAAGGAGGGGTGGAAATGGTGCAGAATGGGGCAAGGAGGGGTGGAAATGGTGCAAAATGGGGCGAGGAGGGGTGGAAATGGTGCAAAGTGGGGCAAGGAAGGGCAGAGGTGGTGTAAAATGATGCAAGGAGGGGTGGAAACAGTGCAGAATGGGGCAAGGAGGGGCTGCAATGGTGCAGAATGGGGCAAGGAGGGGTGATGATGGTGCAAAATGGGGAAAGGAGGGGTGGTGATGGTGTAAAATGGGGCAAGGAGGGGTGGAAATAGAGCAGAATGGGGCAAGGAGGGGCGGTGATGGTTTAAAATGGGGAAAGGAGGGGTGGTGATGATGCAGAAAGGGGCCAGGAGGGGCAGCAATGGCACAAAATGGGGCAGGGAGGGGTGGGAGTGGTGCAAAATGGGGCAAGGAGGAGTGGAAATAGAGCAGAATGGGGCAAGGAGGGGTGGTGATGGTGTAAAATGGGGCATGGAGGGGCTGCAATGGTGCCAAATGGGGAAAGGAGGGGTGGTGATGATGCAGAAAGGGGCAAGGAGGGGCAGCAATGGCACAAAATGGGGCAGGGAGGGGTGGAAGTGGTGCAAAATGGGGCCAGGAGGGGCAGTGATGGTGTAAAATGGTGCAAAGAAGGGAGGCAATGGTGCAAAATGGTGCGAGGAGGGGCAGCAATGGTGTAAAATGGTGCAAGGCAGGGCAGCAGTAGTGCAAAATGGGGCAAGGAGGGGTGGAAATGGTGCAGAATGGGGCAAGGAGGGATGGAAATAGAGCAAAATGGGGCAAGGAGGGGCTGCAATGGTGCAGAATGGTGCAAGGAGGGGCAGCAATGGCACAAAATGGGGCAGGGAGGGGTGGAAATGGGGCAGAATGGGGCAAGGAGGGGAGGTGATGGTGCAAAATGGTGCGAGGAGGGGTGGAAATGGTGTAAAATGGTGCAAGGAGGGGCAGCAATGGTGCAAAATGGTGCAAGGAGGGGTGGAAATAGAGCAAAATTATGCAAAGTGGGGTGGTGATGGTGCAAAATGGGGAAAGGAGGGGTGGAAATGGTGCAAAGTGGGGCAAGGAAGGGCAGAGGTGGTGTAAAATGATGCAAGGAGGGGTGGAAACAGTGCAGAATGGGGCAAGGAGGGGCAGCAATGGTGCAGAATGGGGCAAGGAGGGGTGATGATGGTGCAAAATGGGGAAAGGAGGGGTGGTGATGGTGTAAAATGGGGCAAGGAGGGGTGGAAATAGAGCAGAATGGGGCAAGGAGGGGCGGTGATGGTGTAAAATGGGGAAAGGAGGGGTGGTGATGATGCAGAAAGGGGCAAGGAGGGGCTGCAATGGCACAAAATGGGGCAGGGAGGGGTGGAAATGGTGCAAAATGGGGCCAGGAGGGGCAGTGATGGTGCAGAATGGTGCAAAGAAGGGAGGCAATGGTGCAAAATGGTGCGAGGAGGGGCAGCAATGGTGTAAAATGGTGCAAGGCAGGGCAGCAGTAGTGCAAAATGGGGCAAGGAGGGGTGGAAATGGTGCAGAATGGGGCAAGAGGGGTGGTGATGATGCAGAATGGGGCAAGGAGGGGTTGCAATGGTCTAAAATGGTGCAAGGAGGGGCTGCAATGGTGCAGAATGGGGCAAGGAGGGGCTGCAATGGTGCAGAATGGGGCGAGGAAGGGCGGTGATGGTGCAAATGATGCAACGAGGGGTGGAAATGAAATGGTGCAGAACGGGGCAAGGAGGGGCAGTAGTGCAAAATGGGGAAAGGAGGGGTGGTGATTGTGTAAAATGGTGCAAAGAGGGGCTGCAATGGTGCAGAATGGGGCAAGGAGGGGTGGTGATGGTGCAAAATGGTGCAAAGAGGGGTGGTGATGTTGCAAAATGGGGAAAGGAGGGGCTGCAATGGTGCAAAATGGTACAAGGAGGGGTGGAAATGGTGCAAAATTATGCAAGGAAGGGCAGCAATGGTGCAAAATGGTGAGAAGGAGGGGTGGTGATGGTGCAGAATGGGGCAAGGAGGGGTGGAAATAGAGCAAAATTATGCAAAGAGGGGTGGTGATGGTGCAAAATGGGGCAAGGAAGGGCAGAGGTGGTGTAAAATGATGCAAGGAGGGGTGGAAACAGTGCAGAATGGGGCAAGGAGGGGCAGCAATGGTGCAGAATGGGGCAAGGAAGGGTGATGATGGTGTAAAATGGGGCAAGGAGGGGCTGTGATGGTGCAAAATGGGGAAAGGAGGCGTGGTGATGATGCAGAAAGGGGCAAGGAGGGGCAGCAATGGCACAAAATGGGGCAGGGAGGGGTGGAAGTGGTGCAAAATGGGGCGAGGAGGGGCAGTGATGGTGTAAAATGGTGCAAAGAAGGGAGGCAATGGTGCAAAATGGTGCGAGGAGGGGCAGCAATGGTGTAAAATGGTGCAAGGCAGGGCAGCAGTAGTGCAAAATGGGGCAAGGAGGGGTGGAAATGGTGCAGAATGGGGCAAGGAGGGGCTGCAATGGTGCAAAATGGGGTGAGGAGGGGTGGAAATGGTGCAAAATGGGGCAGGGAGGGGCTGCAATGGTGCAGAATGGGGCGAGGAAGGGCGGTGATGGTGAAAAATGGTGCAAGGAGGGGTGGAAATGAAATGGTGCAGAACGGGGCAAGGAGGGGCAGCAGTAGTGCAAAATGGGGAAAGGAGGGGTGGTGATTGTGTAAAATGAGGCATGGAGGGGCTGCAATGGTGCAAAATGGGGAAAGGAGGGGTGGTGATGATGCAGAAAGGGGCAAGGAGGGGCTGCAATGGCACAAAATGGGGCAGGGAGGGGTGGAAGTGGTGCAAAATGGGGCCAGGAGGGGCAGTGATGGTGCAGAATGGTGCAAAGAAGGGAGGCAATGGTGCAAAATGGTGCGAGGAGGAGCAGTAATGGTGTAAAATGGTGCAAGGCAGGGCAGCAGTAGTGCAAAATGGGGCAAGGAGGGGTGGAAATGGTGCAGAATGGGGCAAGGAGGGGCAGCAATGGTGCAAAGTGGTGCAAGGAGGGGTGGAAATGGTGCAAAATTATGCAAGGAAGGGCAGCAATGGTGCAAAATGGTGAGAAGGAGGGGTGGTGATGGTGCAAAATTATGCAAGGAAGGGCAGCAATGGTGCAAAATGGTGAGAAGGAGGGGTGGTGATGGTGCAGAATGGGGCAAGGAGGGGTGGAAATGGTGTAAAATGGTGCAAGGAGGGGCAGCAATGGTGCAAAGTGGGGAAAGGAGGAGCAGCAATTAGTGCAAAATGGTGCAAGGAGGGGTGGAAATGGTGCAGAATGGGGCAAGGAGGGGTGGAAATAGAGCAAAATTAGGCAAAGAGGGGTGGTGATGGTGCAAAATGGGGCAAGGAAGGGCAGAGGTGGTGTAAAATGATGCAAGGAGGGGTGGAAACAGTGCAGAATGGGGCAAGGAGGGGCTGCAATGGTGCAGAATGGGGCAAGGAGGGGTGGAAATGGTGCAGAATGGGGCAAGGAGGGGTGATGATGGTGCAAAATGGGGAAAGGAGGGGTGGAAATAGAGCAGAATGGGGCAAGGAGGGGCGGTGATGGTGTAAAATGGGGCATGGAGGGGCTGCAATGGCACAAAATGGGGCAGGGAGGGGTGGAAATGGTGCAAAATGGGGCCAGGAGGGGCAGTGATGGTGCAGAATGGTGCAAAGAAGGGAGGCAATGGTGCAAACTGGTGCGAGGAGGGGCAGCAATGGTGTAAAATGGTGCAAGGCAGGGCAGCAGTAGTGCAGAATGGGGCAAGGAGGGGCTGCAATGGTGCAGAATGGGGCAAGGAGGGGTGGAAATAGAGCAAAATGGGGCAAGGAGGGGCTGCAATGGCACAAAGTGGGGCAGGGAGGGGTGGAAACAGTGCAGAATGGGGCAAGGAGGGAGGGGCAGAGGTTGTTCAAAGTGGTGAGAAGGAGGGGTGGAAATAGAGCAAAATGGGGCAGGGAGGGGCTGCAATGGTGCAAAATGGGGTGAGGAGGGGCTGCAATGGTGCAGGATGGGGCGAGGAAGGGTGGTGATGGTGCAAAATGGTGCAAGGAGGGGTGGAAATGAAATGGTGCAGAACGGGGCAAGGAGGGGCAGTAGTGCAAAATGGGGAAAGGAGGGGTGGTGATTGTGTAAAATGGTGCAAAGAGGGGCTGCAATGGTGCAGAATGGGGCAAGGAGGGGTGGAAATGGTGCAGAATGGGGCAAGGAGGGGCAGCAATGGTGCAGAATGGGGCAAGGAAGGGTGATGATGGTGCAAAATGGGGCAAGGAGGGGCTGCAATGGTGCAAAATGGGGCAAGGAGGGGTGGTGATGGTGTAAAATGGGGCAAGGAGGGGTGGAAATAGAGCAGAATGGGGCAAGGAGGGGCGGTGATGGTGTAAAATGGGGCATGGAGGGGCTGCAATGGTGCAAAATGGGGCAAGGAGGGGCAGTGATGGTGCAGAATGGTGCAAAGAAGGGAGGCAATGGTGCAAACTGGTGCGAGGAGGGGCAGCAATGGTGTAAAATGGTGCAAGGCAGGGCAGCAGTAGTGCAAAATGGGGCAAGGAGGGGTGGAAATGGTGCAGAATGGGGCAAGGAGGGGCAGAGGTGGTGTAAAATGATGCAAGGAGGGGTGGAAATGGTGCAGAATGGGGCAAGAGGGGTGGTGATGATGCAGAATGGGGCAAGGAGGGGCAGCAATGGTGCAGAATGGTGAGAAGGAGGGGTGGAAATAGAGCAAAATTATGCAAAGAGGGGTGGTGATGGTGCAAAATGGGGCAAGGAGGGGTGGAAATGGTGCAAAGTGGGGCAAGGAAGGGCAGAGGTGGTGTAAAATGATGCAAGGAGGGGTGGAAACAGTGCAGAATGGGGCAAGGAGGGGCTGCAATGGTGCAAAATGGGGAAAGGAAGGGTGATGATGGTGCAAAATGGGGAAAGGAGGGGTGATGATGGTGTAAAATGGGGCATGGAGGGGCAGCAATGGTGCAAAATGGGGAAAGGAGGGGTGGTGATGATGCAGAAAGGGGCAAGGAGGGGCAGCAATGGCACATAATGGGGCAGGGAGGGGTGGAAGTGGTGCAAAATGGGGCAAGGAGGGGCAGTGATGGTGCAGAATGGTGCAAAGAAGGGAGGCAATGGTGCAAACTGGTGCGAGGAGGAGCAGCAATGGTGTAAAATGGTGCAAGGCAGGGCAGCAGTAGTGCAGAATGGGGCAAGGAGGGGTGGAAATGGTGCAGAATGGGGCAAGGAGGGGCAGCAATGGTGCAGAATGGTGAGAAGGAGGGGTGGAAATAGAGCAAAATTATGCAAAGAGGGGTGGTGATGGTGCAAAATGGGGCAAGGAGGGGCAGCAATGGCACAAAATGGGGCAGGGAGGGGTGGAAACAGTGCAGAATGGGGCAAGGAGGGAGGGGCAGAGGTGGTGCAAAGTGGTGAGAAGGAGGGGTGGAAATAGAGCAAAATGGGGCAAGGAGGGGCTGCAATGGTGCAAAATGGGGCAAGGAGGGGCGGCGATGGTGCAAAGTGGTGCAAGGAGGGGTGGAAATGGTGTAAAATGGGGCAAGGAAGGGCAGCAATGGTGCAAAGTGGTGACAAGGAGGGGTGGTGATGGTGCAAAATGGTGCAGCAATGGTGCAAAGGGGGGCTGTGAGAGTGCAAAACGGTGCAAGGAGGAGCGGTAATGGTGCAAAACGGTGCAAGGTGGGGAGGTGGCAGTGCAAAGTTAAGCAGCAATGGTGCCAAATGGAGCAGGAATGGTGCAAGACAGTGCAAGGTGAGCGGTAATGGTGCAAAATGGAGCAGCAGGAGTGCAAAACGGTGCAAGGTGGGGCAGTGAGAGTGCAAAATGGAGCAGCAATGGTGCAAAATAGAGCAGCAATGGTGCAAAATGGAGCAGCAATGGTGCAAAATAGAGCAGCAATGGTGCAAAATGGAGCAGCAATGGTGCAAAATGGAGCAGCAATGGTGCAAAATAGAGCAGCAATGGTGCAAAATGGAGCAGCAATGGTGCAAAATAGAGCAGCAATGGTGCAAAATAGAGCAGCAATGGTGCAAAATAGAGCAGCAATGGTGCAAAATGGTGCAAGGTGTAGCAGGAATGGTGCAAAGTAGTGCAAGGTGGGGTGGTGATGGTGCAAAGTAGAGCAGCAGTAGAGCAAAATGGTGCAAGGTGGGGTGATAATAGTGCAAAATAGAACAGGAATGGTGCAAAGGGGAGCTGTGAGAGTGCAAAATAGTGCAAGGTGGGGTGGAGAGAGTGCAAAGTCAAGCAGCAATGGTGCAAAATGGAGCAGCAGGAGTGCAAAATAGTGCAAGGTGGGGGTGACAGTGCAAAACACAGCGGCTGTGGTGCAAAATAGAGCAGCAGGAGTGCAAAATGGTGCAAGGCGCAGCAGGAATGGTGCAAAGTAGAGCAGCAATGGTGCAAAGGGGGGCTGTGAGAGTGCAAAATGGTGCCATGTGGGGCAGCAATGGAGCACAATTAAGCAGCAATGGTGCACAGGGGGGCTGTGAGGGTGCAAAGTAGTGCGAGGAGGAGCGGTAATGGTGCAAAACGGTGCAAGGTGGGGTGGAGAGAGTGCAAAGTTAAGCAGCAATGGTGCAAAATAGAGCAGCAGGAGTGCAAAATAGTGCAAAGTGGGGCAGTAATAGTGCAAAATAGAGCAGTGATGGTGCAAAGGAGAGCTGTGAGAGTGCAAAATGGTGCAAGGCGTAGCAGTAATGGTGCAAGTAGAGCAGCAATGGTGCAAAGGGGGGCTGTGAGAGTGCAAAGTAGTGCAAGGAGGAGCGGTAATGGTGCAAAACGGTGCAAGGTGGGGAGGTGGCAGTGCAAAGTTAAGCAGCAATGGTGCCAAATGGAGCAGCAGGAGTGCAAAATAGTGCAAGGTGAGCGGCCACTGGTGTGAGACAGGGCAGCAATGGTGCAAAATGGAGCCAGGGTTGTGCAAAGAGGAGCAATGGTGCAAAACAGAGCGGCTGTGGTGCAAAGCAGAGCAGAAACGGGGCAGCTGTGGTGCAAAAAGGAACAGAAACGGAGCAGCACTGGTGCAAAATGGAGCAGAAATGGTGCAAAATGGAGCAGAAACGGGGGGAGGGGGAGCAGCAGTGGTGCAAAGTGGAGCAGTGGTGCAAAAAAGCAGCTGGGATGCAAAATGGAGCAGAAATGGAGCAGCTGTGGTGCAAAACAAAGCAGCACTGGTGCAAAATGGAGCAGCAATAGAGCAAAATGGAGCAGAAATGGGGGGGAGGAAGCAGCAGTGGTGCAAAGTGGAGCAGTGGTGCAAAAACAGAGCAGCTGCGGTGCAAAACAAAGCAGCAGTGGTGCAAAATGGAGCAGAAATGGTGCAAAATGGAGCGCAAATGGAGCAGCAGTGGTGCAACAGCTGCACCAACGGCTCACGAGGGAGCAGCCATGGAAGCCCAAAGCAGCGCAGGGCACCAACAAATGCAAAGCAGAGCAGAGCAAAGGAGAGCAGAGCAGAGAAGAGCAGAGCAGAGCAGAGCAGAGCAGAGCAGAGCAGAGCAGAGCAGAGCAGAGCAGAGGAGAGGAGAGCAGAGGAGAGCAGAGCAGAGGAGAGCAGAGCAAAGCAGAGCAGAGCAGAGCAGAGCAGAGCAGAGCAGAGGAGAGCAGAGCAGAGCAGAGCAGAGCAGAGGAGAGCAGAGCAGAGGAGAGCAGAGCAGAGGAGAGCAGAGCAAAGCAGAGCAGAGCAGAGCAGAGCAGAGCAAAGCAGAGCAGAGGAGAGCAGAGCAGAGCAGAGCAGAGCAGAGGAGAGCAGAGCAAAGCAGAGCAGAGCAGAGCAGAGCAGAGCAAAGCAGAGCAGAGGAGAGCAGAGCAGAGCAGAGCAGAGCAGAGCAGAGGAGAGCAGAGCAAAGCAGAGCAGAGGAGAGCAGAGCAGAGCAGAGCAGAGCAAAGCAGAGCAGAGGAGAGCAGAGCAGAGCAAAGCAGAGCAGAGCAGAGCAGAGCAGAGCAAAGCAGAGCAGAGGAGAGCAGAGGAGAGCAGAGCAAAGCAGAGCAGAGCAGAGCAGAGCAGAGCAGAGCAGAGCAAAGCAGAGCAGAGGAGAGCAGAGCAGAGCAGAGCAGAGCAGAGCAGAGCAGAGGAGAGCAGAGCAAAGCAGAGCAGAGCAAAGCAGAGCAGAGCAGAGCAGAGCAGAGAAGAGCAGAGGAGAGCAGAGCAAAGCAGAGCAGAGCAGAGCAGAGCAGAGGAGAGGAGAGCAGAGCAGAGCAGAGCAGAGCAGAGCAGAGGAGAGCAGAGCAGAGCAAAGCAGAGCAGAGCAGAGCAGAGCAGAGCAGAGCAGAGCAGAGCAAAGCAGAGCAAAGCAGAGCAGAGCAGAGCAGAGCAAAGCAGAGCAGAGCAGAGCAGAGCAGAGCAGAGCAGAGCAAAGCAGAGCAGAGCAAAGCAGAGCAGAGGAGAGCAGAGCAAAGCAGAGCAGAGCAGAGCAGAGCAGAGCAGAGCAGAGCAGAGCAGAGCAGAGCAGAGGAGAGCAGAGCAAAGCAGAGCAGAGCAGAGCAAAGCAGAGCAGAGCAGAGCAAAGCAGAGCAGAGCAAAGCAGAGCAGAGCAGAGCAGAGCAAAGCAGAGCAGAGCAGAGCAGAGCAGAGCAGAGCAGAGCAAAGCAGAGCAGAGCAAAGCAGAGCAGAGGAGAGCAGAGCAAAGCAGAGCAGAGCAGAGCAGAGCAGAGCAGAGCAGAGCAGAGCAGAGCAAAGCAGAGCAGAGCAGAGCAAAGCAAAGCAAAGCAGAGCAGAGAAGAGCAGAGCAGAGCAGAGCAGAGCAGAGCAGAGCAGAGCAGAGCAGAGGAGAGGAGAGCAGAGCAAAGCAGAGCAGAGCAGAGCAGAGCAGAGCAGAGCAGAGCAGAGGAGAGCAGAGCAGAGGAGAGCAGAGCAGAGCAGAGCAGAGCAGAGCAGAGCAGAGGAGAGCAGAGCAGAGCAGAGCAGAGCAGAGGAGAGCACAGCAGAGAAGAGCAGAGCAGAGCAGAGCAGAGCAGAGGAGAGCACAGCAGAGAAGAGCAGAGGAGAGGAGAGGAGAGGAGAGCAGAGCAGAGCAGAGCAGAGCAGAGCAAAGCAGAGCAGAGCAGAGCAGAGCAAAGCAGAGCAGAGCAGAGCAGAGCAGAGCAGAGCAGAGCAAAGCAGAGCAGAGCAGAGCAGAGCAGAGCAGAGAAGAGCAGAGAAGAGCAGAGAAGAGCAGAGCAGAGCAGAGGAGAGGAGAGCAGAACAAAGCAGAGCAAAGCAGAGCAGAGCAGAGCAGAGCAGAGCAGAGCAGAGAAGAGCAGAGCAGAGCACAGCAGAGAAGAGCAGAGGAGAGGAGAGGAGAGGAGAGCAGAGCAGAGCAGAGCAGAGCAGAGCAAAGCAGAGCAGAGCAGAGCAGAGCAGAGCAGAGCAGAGCAAAGCAGAGCAGAGCAGAGCAGAGCAAAGCAGAGCAGAGCAGAGCAGAGCAGAGCAGAGCAGAGCAGAGAAGAGCAGAGCAGAGCAGAGGAGAGGAGAGCAGAACAAAGCAGAGCAAAGCAGAGCAGAGCAGAGCAGAGCAGAGCAGAGCAGAACAAAGCAGAGCAAAGCAGAGCAGAGCAGAGCAGAGCAGAACAAAGCAGAGCAAAGCAGAGCAGAGCAGAGCAGAGCAGAGCAGAGCAGAGCAAAGCAGAGCAGAGGAGAGCAGAGCAGAGCAGAACAGAGCAAAGCAGAGCAAAGCAGAGCAAAGCAGAGCAGAGCAGAGCAGAGCAGAGAAGAGCAGAGCAGAGAAGAGCAGAGAAGAGCAGAGCAGAGCAGAGCAGAGCAGAGAAGAGCAGAGCAGAGAAGAGCAGAGCAGAGCAGAGCAGAGCAGAACAGAGAAGAGCAGAGCAGAGCAAAGGAGAGCAGAGCAGAGCAGAGCAGAACAGAGAAGAGCAGAGCAGAGCAGAGCAGAGCAGAGCAGAGCAGAGCAAAGCAGAGCAAAGCAGAGCAGAACAGAGCAGAGCAGAGCAAAGCAGAGCAGAGCAGAGCAGAGCAGAGCAGAGCAGAGAAGAGCAGAGCAGAGCAGAGGAGAGCAGAGCAGAGCAGAGCAAAGCAGAGCAGAGCAGAGCAGAGCAGAGCAGAGCAGAGCAGAGCAGAACAGAGCAGAGCAAAGCAGAGCAGAACAGAGCAGAGCAGAGCAGAGCAGAGCAGAGCAGAGCAAAGCAGAGCAGAGCAGAGCAGAGCAGAGAAGAGCAGAGGAGAGCAAAGCAGAGCACAGCCCCCATTCCCCCCCCCCCCCCCCCCCATTCCCTACCTGCTTTGGGGTGGGCAGTTGTGGGGTGACCCCAATTCAATCCTATTCAATCCACCCCCCACAGCCCCAAATTTGCCCCCCCCCCCCCCCCCCCCCCCCCCGTCCCTTTGCTGCACTTCCTGCTGCTGCCCTGGACTTCCTGCGGCCCCATAACCGCAATGGGGGGGGCTGGGGTTATGGGGGGGGGGGGGGGGGGGGAACCCCTTAATGGACACCGGGCAACCAAGGCTGCCCTGAAAGAACCCCAGCTCCCCCCCCCAAGGGGCCCCATAACCCCCAAAGGACCCCATATCCCATTAGGGGTCCCATATCCCCCCCACATGACCCCATATCCCCTTAGGGGGTCCCACATGCCCTCCAAGGGTCTCCATCCCCCCATCAAAAGACCCCATATCCCCTTTAGGGGTCCCCATATGCCCCCCAAAAGGCCCCGTATCCCTTTATGGGTCCCATATCCCCTTAATGGTCCCCATTACCCCCAAAAGACCCCATAGCCCTTTAGGGGTCCCCATATGCCCCCCAAAGGACCCCAAATCCCCTTTAGGGGGGCCCATATCCCCCCCAAAAGACCCTGTATCCCTCTATGGGTCCCCATGTCCCCTTAAGGGTCCCCATAAGCCCCAAAGGACCCCATATCCCATTAGGGGTCCCATATGATCTCCAAACGACCCCATATCCCCTTAGGGGTTCCCACATGCCCTCCAAGGATCTCCATCCCCCCCCAAAGGACCCCATACCCCTTAAGGGTCCCATATGCCCCCCAAAAGACCCCATAGCCCTCTAAGGGTCCCATATCCCCCTCAAAAGACCCCATATCCCCTTATGGGTCCCCATATCCCCCCCAAATGACCCCATATCCCCTTTGGGGTCCCACATGCCCTCCAAGGGTCTCCATCCCCCCCTAAAGGACCCCATTCCCCTTTAGGGGTCCCCATATGCCCCGCAAAGGACCCCGTATCCCTTTACGGGTTCCCATAGCCCCTTAAGTGTCCCCATAACCCCCACATGACCCCATATCCCCTTAGGGGCCCCATATCCCCCCCACATGACCCCATATCCCCTTTGGGGTTCCCATATGCCCTCCAAGGCTCTCTATCCCCTCCCCCCCAAAGGACCCCTTATCCCCCTTTAGGGATCCCATATCCCCTTAAGGGTCCCCATAACCCTCAAAGGACCCCATATCCCCCATAGGGGTCCCCATATGCCCCCCAAAAGACCCCGTATCCCTTTAGGGGTCCCCATAACCCCTTAAGGGTCCCATATGCCTCCCAGAAGACCCCATATCCCTTTAGGGGTCCCATATCCCCCCATCAAAGGACCCCATATCCCCTTAGGGGTCCCATATCCCCCCCAAAAGACCCCGCATCCCTCTATGGGTCCCCATATCCCCTTAAGGGTCCCCATAATCCCCAAAGGACCCCATATCCCCTTAGGGGTCCCATATCCCCCCCCAAATGACCCCATAGCCCTTTAGGGTCCCCATATGCCCCCCAAAAGACCCCGTATCCCATTAGGGGCCCCCATATCCCCCTCAAATGGCCCCCCATATCCCCTTAGGGGTTCCCACATGCCCTCCAAGGGTCTCCATCCCCCGCCAAATGACCCCATATCCCCTTAAGGGTCCCATATGCCCCCCAAAAGACCCCGCATCCCTCTATGGGTCCCCATAATCCCCAAAGGACCCCATATCCCATTAGGGGTCCCATATCCCCCTCAAAAGACCCCATATCCCCTTATGGGTTCCCATATCCCCCCCACATGACCCC